GAATGTGAACGTTTCTCACCTTCCATCAGGAAGCAGGTGATACGCCAATTGCGGGAGAATCTACACTTCACCGACCCCCTGTACGGACACCTGGAGGCTGGAGCATTCTTGAAGGTCATCCTCACAAAAAAAGCAACAGCAAAAATGAGGTTGTCATCATACGAATCAATCGGTATGGTTTCGAAATATCTAGTAATATCGCCTGAGAAAGCGCAAAACACTTTGTCAGCCAGATTGTAACAGTAGTTCTGAATTGACTCGATAACGCACCAGATGGACGTGTCCACCATATGGAAATGCAGCAGCCCATCGGTGATGTCCTTGGACCAGCCATGATAGCAGGGATTAAATATTTAAGGACCGCATCACACAGGCAAACCATTGGGATAAAAAAACAAGAAGACGCATGAGGGAGAGCGGGAGGAGCTAGTCCAGTTGCAGGAGGGGCGGACAACAGAGGGTACGGAGTAGGAACGGGGCGAGCAGGGCTGGAATTGACTTTCATTAGCTTTGTCATGATTTCTTCTAACCGATCCATTTGAGACGCATGCATCTGAATCAGATTATTCATCCACTCAGACTGATTTGTCGTAGCGTTATGAATCATCTGGGCCAGATGCATGTTAGTGACGGGTGTCGAGCACTGATGTGGCGTCTTGGGTCATTACTGTGTTCACGGACGCCGTTTTGGGAGGAGGAGGAGGTCTTCAGGGAGGTAGGAGATGATATGGGGAGGGAAGCGGGTCCATCCTGGTAATCGTGATCAGGACGAGGGTAAAATCGTCCCACCGCTCTGAGCCACGACCGCCGTGTAGCAGCCACATCTTGGATTGTGTCCAAGATGTCTTCTTCTCCCTGACTGATATACTTATGCGTATCCAGCAGATCCAATTCGAGGGCTTTAGTTATGGTGACGGACAGTTGGTTCGTCTTGGGAGGGACCTTTTTCTGCAGTTTTTCCTTCAACCGAGATTGCGGAGATGATCGATGAACAGATCTCGAGCTGCATTTTCTTCCCGTCCAGATTTGTCTAAGTTGGGTAACAATTCTCCGGGATCCTGCGGATGGGTTTTCAGTACAAACTATGTAGCATCTTCGCTGACCTCGTCAAATCTTGCTAGGAACGCCCTCTTAAAGGTGTCCCAGTCTACCTATTTATGCCTTCTAAGCCAATCGTGTGCGGTGTTTCGCAGTAGTAGGGTGATGACGCGGGGAAGGTCCTCAACACCATATCCCTTAGCTTATACGGCTTCGAGCCATGCCTCATGGTGAGTGTAGTTGAGATAGAATGCGAAGGTAGCGATAATACTTACCATCATCCGGGGAGGAGTTCAATTAGCATCAGCCATGGGCATCTCTATTCGAGCCTCAACGGACCTCTGTCGAGTGACGGGAGGACTGAGACGATTAGATCGTTTAGCTGATCTTCCTCTCGCCAGCTCGTCTTACTATCGTCCGAACCGACACGTGTCGGCTCCGATACCAACCTCACGCCCTGCGCTGTCCTCCATTCAAAGTGTTTAAATTGCGGAAGGGGGCCCCAGAAAGACAGCGAGATAGGGTGTGCCAAGGATTTTTGGAAAATTGAGTGTGGGGACACGGACAGAACAAAAATCCCCTATGTCAACCTGCCTTAGCAAGAAGGGAGGGTACGTCACTGCGCAGGTTTCAAGGGAGAAAAAGGAGCGCGCGGGACGCTCGGTGCGGGGAAGTTCAATCCAAAAGGTATTGTTGAACCTCCCATCGGGCCGTTGCTTTCCGCTTCGCGTGAAATGGAATGGGGACGCACTTGGTGTCTCATTTTCGGATCAAGTCTCGCCGCCGCTCATTGCATAACTCAGAATCTGTCGTGGAGGGTCTCAGCCGCGTAGCTCGTTCTTTATGCTTGTCCTCACTCCGTACTCGGTAGTGAAAACCTTTTGATTGGTAACGCTCAAAGCGACAACAATCGCTGCAAAGAGTGTTACGCCAATGGGGTGCCACTGCTGTCCACAGAATGACGATCAACTCATTAAACGGTAATAGCAGCGAATAAGGCGGAAAATGTGTATCGATAATGACAAAGCCAGCACCAACAAACCTTGAGCACCGAGTTTCGGGAGGGAAATAGTATCAGCCGCCGATCTTGGCGGCGGCTTCTCGTACGTCCCACTCGCATACACGTGTCCTTTTCTCGTTGTACGGGAAGGGACGTGGAGGGGGTACGGGAGGCTGGCGCCCAGTCGGGTTGAGGCTTTCATTCCACATGGCAATCCAATCAATCGCAAGAGTCAGTTTCAATCATTCATCGTTAATCCGACAATCGTGATGATCGAAAATGCACAACCTATCGATCGGGTTTCTCCGGCCGTCGCCTTTATTCGCCTTAGGTTGTGCGCGTAATCAATCGCAAGAGTCCTACGTCTATCCATATTCCTTCAAAATTCCCATAGTTTTTCATGTCGAGGCCGGGAACGTTCATGCGTGAAAGGACACGTCGAGTTCCGTAAATTCTGGAATTCCTAACCGTCGAGCCAAATTCCGAGCGCGCTCGCTAAGGCGCGCGTAATTCCCATGCATTTCCAAATGACAACAAAAAAACGGAATTTCAAGAATCACTAGTGCCGTCAAAAATACAGGTTTCAGCGAAGCACCATCAATCGGAAAAAAAAAACAGAGAGGGGTTTACAAGACACATCGCGATTCAAAAGAGACAAGGGGAGGGAAGGGGTCCGGAAGATGGCGCAAGTCCGGAAGCTGGTACGTCACATACGTGCCCCTCTGCACACTCCCCCCACCCTCAATCGCCTTCAATCGCCGCCCCTCACCAAAACTTCGACCCGAATTCCGCACAGCGCGTCATGAACCTGCCCCTGCGGCCAATGCTGCTTAAGGGATAGGACGGGGGAAAGGCATACTCTTCTGTTTATTTATCTGTGCTTCCCCCCCCCCCCACCCCCAACTTTGTTTGCTAATGGAGTGTTATTTGAGAAGACTTACAAGCTAAAATATGTGGATTGTAGATTTTTTATGTAGAAGTTTTTGCAACTTTCGCTTATTATTTATTGCAGTTTTTAGGGAAAAGTCATAAATGATAAATCCCCTCCCATCACAGAACCTTTGTATTCATTTGTCCCCAAACAGTTCGGCAGGCCCCAAAATCAATTTTCGTGTTCTTCTCTCAATTTCACCTCACACTACCTAACTACCACCTCTCCTAATTGTAGGCATACGGGGAACCCGTAGCAGCCAGAACCATGTTCACGAGAGAACATGTGGGGGCTGCTCCCCACCTGCAGGTGGGCGATACCGGCTAGGGGACAGCCGGTAGCATCAGGGACCATGCCAACAGGATCAATCCCTGTGCCTCCCCTCAGGTCCCCTCCCCTACGCACATCAGCAGACTCTGCTCAATGCCTATTGGGGGCTAGGTCCCACTTGCACCAATTATGCGATATTGACCGTCGATAGCGAAGATCAACGGCCAAAATCGCCTAATCCGTGCAAGTGGGACCTTGCCCCGGGGAATCCAGTGATCTATCTCTAGGTGGCGGGCGCCAAGCATGCCCAGGAAGGTGATTTCTAACCCTTGCTGGGGTCCGTAAGGCCTGCTGTGCAAAAAAATGCGGGAATGTGTTTTACAGCAGTGGCCCCCTGGGGGCAAATGAGTACAAAGGTTTTGTGGCCAGGGGCATGTAGAACTTTTCCCTGAGAAGTAACATGGCATTGAAGATCCGCTAAACTGGCTTTTCCTGCTAAGGTCACATGATCAGGCTTTCCCTGCTAAGGTCACTTGACTCTAGAGCTGGGCCGCAGGGAAGTTTGATTACCAACACCAATCTTTTTGGAAGGCGAGGGGACGGACTGCTCACTGCAAATAAACCTACCTAGGCATACCTAGGTAAACCTACCTAGGCATACCTAGGTATCATCACAACCTGGCCCAAAGGCCTGAACAAAAGAGGCTGCCAGCGGCTCCTTAACCGACTCGCTAGTTGCCCCCATCGAGTGAATCTCCCCCTCCGCCTCCCTCTACCTTGGGCCCCAGACCCAGATTGCTTCTCGGCGGTCTCCCAAATTAATCCGCACCAAAGACTACCGGAGTTGGTTAAAAAAAACAAAAAAAAACTACGGGAGTTCGTTGACACAGGAGAGCCAATGCCGCTGCTGCACGGCAACCGTAGCATCTGCTTGCTCGCTCCATGGTGCGAAAACCCTCTGTTCGGTCAGGGAACTCTACTTGGCACTTGCAAACCGTGACATGTCGGGCCCACCCTGTGCCTCCGAGTTTGGGCTCCGTCACGGGCGTAGAGTATACAGAGAGCCCACTTCCGGGCCACGGTGTCGCGTTTGTGTCGAAGGCTCTCCTTCGAACGAGGTGTTCGATTCGACGAGTATTAGTCCTACTAGTACAGTCAGTAGCGAATAGCAACGAACGATCTGATGGCAGTAGCTCATCCAAAGTGTTGGTCGTGCCAGTTCTACGTGCAGGACGGAGCCTGCGCTTCGATTGGCCGTCGGTCGAGATCGGGCGCCGGTCACTGTATATTGTCCTCATTCATTGGTTGACTCTGCAGCTAAGGCACGGTCTGTGTTGTACGCTGGTACCCGCCCTAAACACTCCTCGACTTTTCCTCCGTCACGACAATCATCGCCATGGAGTCCTTGGCATGCGTCTGTAGCTGTCACACTGCATGGCCATCTAGAACTGTGTCCGTTTCGACACCTTCTCACTTTGAACGTGGAGCGTCGGAGTCTGTGCGCGTGTCAGGGAGAACTCGTGCTGCCCCTTCAATCACCATTCTACGATGCACGACGTTTATCGACAACACAGGCAGTGCAGCTCTTCGTCATCAAAAGGAGGAAGGAAATAATAAGTCGGAAGGGCGGAGGCTCCCAACATCTGTTGGTAGCAGTGCATGCCCATCCCAACGTCGCTGTGACTCGTTCGTGTCAGCATCCCGGGATGCACATGTCTGCGCGCGAGCTGGAGGTCATAATGGAGCTGTTGGCGCTATCAGTGCCGAAAGAGCGAGCACTACTGTCTCCGAAAAGCTCGTAGCGGACTCTACTTCTGTGTTCATGGAACAGCGGAGGATGACACTGGTGTTCGTAGGGGCGGAGACTGCGCCGTGGTCCAAGGTCGGAGGTCTGGGYGATGTGATGGGCGCCCTTCCACCGGCGCTCGCTGTAAGTTTCTTTACCCGCCGACCTGCTTTCCATGTATAAGCTGATGGAATGTTCACCTGCTCACTTAGTGGGTGTTTGCAGCCTCTGGAAGCTCATGAATGCTTGTATTGTGTTATGTTGTGATGTAGGCTCGTGGACATCGCGTGATGACGATATCTCCGCGTTACGATCAGTACCACGATGCTTGGGACACCAACGTCACTGGGCAGGTAAGCCCAGATCCTTTTCGGTGCTAATGTCAACGGCCTGTGCCGAATACCTCTCTCTCTCTCTCTCTCTCTCTCTCTCTCT